CACACACACACATCCCTGGGGGCTCCACAGTCACACACACACATCCCTGGGGGCTCCACAGTCACACACACACATCCCTGGGGGCTCCACAGTCACACACACATCCCTGGGGGCTCCACAGTCACACACACATCCCTGGGGCTCCACAGTCACACACACATCCCTGGGGCTCCCCAGTCACACACACATCCCTGGGGCTCCACAGTCACACACACATCCCTGGGGCTCCACAGTCACACACACATCCCTGGGGGCTCCACAGTCACACACATCCCTGGGGCTCCGCAGTCACACACACATCCCTGGGGGCTCCACAGTCACACACATCCCTGGGGCTCCCCAGTCACACACACATCCCTGGGGCTCCACAATCACACATACACATCCCTGGGGCTCCACAGTCACACATCCCTGGGGCTCCACAGTCACACACACACATCCCTGGGGCTCCCCAGTCTCACACACATCCCTGGGGCTCCCCAGTCACACACACATCCCTGGGGCTCCACAGTCACACATACACATCCCTGGGGCTCCACAGTCACACACACACATCCCTGGGGCTCCCCAGTCACACACACACATCCCTGGGGCTCCACAGTCACACACACACATCCCTGGGGCTCCACAGTCACACACACACACATCCCTGGGGGCTCCACAGTCACACACATCCCTGGGGCTCCCCAGTCACACACACACATCCCTGGGGGCTCCACAGTCACACACACACATCCCTGGGGGCTCCACAGTCACACACACACATCCCTGGGGGCTCCACAGTCACACACACATCCCTGGGGGCTCCACAGTCACACACACATCCCTGGGGCTCCACAGTCACACACACATCCCTGGGGCTCCCCAGTCACACACACACACATCCCTGGGGGCTCCACAGTCACACACACACATCCCTGGGGGCTCCACAGTCACACACACACATCCCTGGGGGCTCCACAGTCACAAACACACACATCCCTGGGGCTCCACAGTCACACACACATCCCTGGGGGCTCCACAGTCACACACACACACATATCCCTGGGGCTCCACAGTCACACATCAGTGTCGTATAGTGATGTAGCATCAGTATAACCAGTAAATTATAATGATGTAGCATCAGCATAAAATGTCTTATAATGATGAGGAATCAGTATAAACAGTGTCTTAGAGCGATGAAGCATCAGTATAAATAGTGTTTTATAATGATGATGCATCAGTATAAGCAGTTCCTGGGAGAGAGTAAAACTTAGTGTTGGTACAGTCAATTTTTTTAATCAAATTTTAGGTAATGTTAAACTTGGAATGTAAATTTTTGAAAATTTTCATCAGTGTACAATTTTTATTTAATGTGAACACTTTACAAGATGTACAATTTAAGGGGGTAACCCTCTAACATTAACAAATACTTTTGTCAGTGTTAGTAACATTTAAGTACAGTGTATACACACTACCTGTTGTTTATCTGTCGATGATGCCGAGGATCAACATCCACACTGCCCTGTCTCTGACCGGGTCTCCTGTTTGGTGGTCTGGTGAACCACGGTGTTTGAAGCAGTAGCGGGCAGCCTGATGTTTAAATCACAGCCTGATCGATCAGGTATCATTTGATGGTGTTTATCAAGTAGAAGAGAAATTATTAGTAACATTTCCCACGATGAACTTTTTAATGTGAACAATTTCCATGGGATCATATTGAAGTTAATGATTTAACAAGGTGACAGTTATAAATTACACAATTACAAGTTAATCGTACTGGCTTGGCAAGCGTAATTTATGAGGTAACAAATTATAGGAATAATGTCAGAGAAAGTAAATGGGGAAAAGACCTGGGTAGATAACATGTGGGAAATTTAAAGTGTGAAAATAAGTGTGGTAATTTAAGCAGAAGTAATGTTGACAGAAAGTTAATTACCACACCTTGCAAGAGGATGTGCGTAGGGGGTCCAGCAGGCATCTTTCCTTTGTGCAGAAGAGTCTATCCAAAGTGGAGAGTAAATGCAACAGGTAGGGAGAAAGGGAACAATCCCAGGAAATCTGTGTAGGAGCGCAGGTCAATCCATGTTCAAGAGTGTTTCCAGTCTAGTTGTAAGGGAGCTTTCCTTGCAACCTTGCAACCATAGCCTCTGAGCTAGTGAGTTGACTGCACAGTCAAATAATGGAGGGTTTTATGCTCTTTCATGAAGGTTTAAGATTTCATCACACTGTATATCTTAGAGATGTAGCAACAGTATAGGCATTATCTTAGTGAAATATTCTCTTTAAACTGGATGTTTTCTACTTACATTTTTCTGAAAAAATTACTTCTTATATATTCATGGATTTATGTTATATTTTGTTACATGGCTGTGTACATCCATTTGGCTGTATTTACTATTTGTATCTACAGAATCGAGCTATTAGCTCTTGTACCCTGCCTATCTAACCCATCTATTTTTCCTCTCCTATTATATCTACTTCATATATATCTCTCAAACACACATGCACACATCTGCAGGAAGCAGTCCATAGCAGCTGTTTAACTCCCAGGTACCTATTTATTGCTAGGTGAACAGTGGCATCAGGATGAAAGAAATTCTTCCCACTTTACCTCAGGGCCACTAACCCTAGTGGCCTCAATGAGGACAAGAAGCTGGCAGCTGTCGATGGTCTCTCCATTTGCCTTGATGATCTTTTCTAGGTATATTTTAAAACTCAACACAGTTTTGGCACTTACGGCATTGGTGGGAAGGCAGTTCCATGGGTTAATAACCCTGTGGGTGAAAAAGCATCTCCTGTTCTCAGTTCTACTTTGTGGCTTTTTGAGCTTGAAACCATTGCTCCTTGTTTGTATTACATCTAACCTTCTGAAGAAAATATCCGGATCAACATCCTCTAACATGTTCAGTATTTTAAAAGTTTCAGTAAGATCTGCCCTGTCATGCCTGGTATGCAGTGTTGACATCCCTGTAGTCTTCAAGCATTCCTGGTATGGGAGATGACTTAGCTCTGGAATGACTTTTGTTGCCCGGTGTTGCACCTTCTCCAGAGCAGCTATGTCCTTCTGGAAATGAGATCTCTATGCTTGGATACAGTAATCCAAATGGGAGCGCACCAGAGATTTATACAGCTGAACCATTGGCTTCTTTTCCTTATAGTCAAAAGTGCGCTTGATTATCCCAGGAGTTTGGTGAGCTTTTCTGACTGCTGTACCCACCTGTTGTGCAACTTTTAATGACTGGTGGATTTTGACTCCAAGGTCCTTTTCTTCATCAATCTGCTGTAAAGTAATGCTATTAATTTGGTAGTTGTGGTGTGGATTGTTATGCCCCACATGCAAGGTAATGCATTTGCCAATATTAAAAAGCATGTGCCAATTTTCTGACCATTTGTGGAGTTCATGTAAATCTCTCTTTAAGGCTTCAATATCATTATCATTTCCCAATTTTCCATAAATCTTTGTGTTGTCTACAAATTTGATAATGTGGTTTGTAATATTCTCATATATATCATTGATATATATATGACAAAAAGGGTTGGTCCCAAAATGGACCCTTGTGGCACTCCACTTATCATATTTCTCCATTCAGATTTGTTTCTGCCTCCACTGGGAATCAAACCCAGGCCATTAGTACAACGAACCCCAGGCACTATCCACTCAGCCGCAAGGCTGTGTTCATCCAAGTGGCTGTGTGCATCCATATGGCTGTGTGCATCCATATGGCTGTGTGCATCCATATGGCTGTGTGCATCCATATGGCTGTGTGCATCCATATGGCTGTGTGCATCCAAATGGCTGTGTTCGTCCATATGGCTGTGTTCGTCCATATGGCTGTGTTCGTCCATATGGCTGTGTTCGTCCATATGGCTGTGTGCATCCATATGGCTGTGTGCATCCATATGGCTGTGTGCATCCATATGGCTGTGTACATCCATATGCTGTGTACGTCTATATGGCTGTGTTCATCCATATGGCTGTGTACGTCCATATGTCTGTATACGTCCATATGTCTGTATACGTCTATATGGCTGTGTACGTCTATATGGCTATGTGCGTCCATATGGCTGTGTGCGTCTATATGGCTGTGTACGTCCATATGGCTGTGTACGTCCATATGGCTGTGTACGTCTATATGGCTGTGTACGTCCGTATGGCTGTGTACGTCCGTATGGCTGTGTACGTCCATATGGCTGTGTACGTCCATATGGCTGTGTACGTCCATATGGCTGTGTTCGTCCATATGGCTGTATGCATCCATATGGCTGTGTGCGTCTATATGGCTGTGTACGCCCAAATGGGTGTGCTTTCTTCTTCATGTACTTTTATTATTGTTTGCTTCATCTAAATATTAAACTTTTGTCTTGTACATAAATATGCAATTACTATAAGAAATGGCACACACACAATTTACCTGATTTACCTGAGGGCCGCTAACACTAGTGGCCTCGACAAGGACAGGAAGCTGGCGGCTTGTCGAAGGTTCCCCCATTTGCCTTGATAATGATGCAAATGAGGGGATCATCAATATTGGCTCTATAAAAGTAGTAGATGCATACAAGTCCCCTAAGAATTGGCAGATGCTCATAATAGATCCATACGAAGTGTCGGATGCTCATAATAGATCCATAGGAAGTGTCGGATGCTCATAACAATCCTATAAGAAGTGGCAGATGCTCATAACAGCCCTATAAGAAGTGGCAGATGCTCATAACAGCCCTATAAGAAGTGGCAGATGCTCATAATAGTCCTATAAGAAGTGGCAGATGCTCAACAGTCCTATAAGAAGTGGCAGATGCTCATAACAGCCCTATAAGAAGTGGCAGATGCTCATAACAGTCCATAGGAAGTGGCAGATGCTCATAATCCTATAAGAAGTGACATGCTCATAATCCTATAAGAACTGACAGATGCTCATGTAGCGAGTACAAACAATATACTCACTACTGCCTTCCATTAGCTTAATGGTTTAACTAATTGGCACTAATTACACAAGCTATAATCCTATCCCTATTTACAGGTAACATTCTTTCCATCCTGATGGAGGAAGCTGAGGTGTAGTCAGCAAATATAAGCAAGCGAATAGCCAGGAGTACAATTTCCACAGTGATTCAGTGAACTTCAATTCAGACACTTTGGATTTAACACACTTCAAGAATGTAGCACTCAGCATGTACAGTTCCTACCGACCCAAGACGCTTCAGCTTCAACACAGAGCAGACAGCAGATTATGACCGCATCAAGCTACGACGCTGTCGCTCCCTATCGAGTTTAGACACTCACGATTCCCCATCGAGCCGCCACGCTCTCCCACATAGAACTCCGCGACTCCGGCTTCATTCACCTCTCTGCTCTGCTCCAAGCTCCGTCTCAACAGTCACAACACTGCAAACAACCAACTACTGTAATCAAGACTAATAAATAAATATGAAACTCACTAAACACTGTGTATCTAATCTACCCAACAACATAACATAATCATACGTTACACTCATAACAGTCCTATAAGAAGTGGCCGATGCTCATAACAGTCCTATAAGAAGTGGCAGATGCTCATAACAGTCCTATAAGAAGTGGCAGATGCTCATAACAGTCCTATAAGAAGTGGCAGATGCTCATAACAGCCCTATAAGAAGTGGCAGATGCTCATAACAGCCCTATAAGAAGTGGCAGATGCTCATAACAGTCCTATAAGAAGTGGCAGATGCTCATAACAGCCCTATAAGAAGTGGCAGATGCTCATAACAGCCCTATAAGAAGTGGCAGATGCTCATAACAGTCCTATAAGAAGTGGCAGATGCTCATAACAGTCCTATAAGAAGTGGCAGATGCTCATAACAGCCCTATAAGAAGTGGCAGATGCTCATAACAGCCCTATAAGAAGTGGCAGATGCTCATAACAGCCCTATAAGAAGTGGCAGATGCTCATAACAGCCCTAGAAGAAGTGGCAGATGCTCCTAACGGGTCCATAAGAAGTGGCAGATGCTCATAACGGGTCCATAAGAAGTGGCAGATGCTCCTAACGGGTCCATAAGAAGTGGCAGATGCTCATAACGGGTCCATAAGAAGTGGCAGATGCTCATAACGGGTTCATAAGAAGCGGCAGATGCTCACAACAGCCCTATAAGAAGTGGCAGATGCTCATAATGGGTCCATAAGAAGTGGCAGATGCTCATAACATCCTTATAAGAAGTGGCAGATGCTCATACTACTCCCATAAGAAGTGGCAGATACTCATTCCTTTAAGACATGGCAGATGCTCAGAACTCAAAATATTTGAATTATTATACATCTAGTTAATCTGTCATTTACTGAGTTACTGGACATTCTTTTCCAACTTCATAAAATATAATTGCGTTCATTTAGTGGTTCTTAATATGGCAAATGTGTTAGTTACAATGTTGTACGGCTTTCCATGGGCATTAATTTATAGCTCTGAAGCTTCCTAAAAAAATATTTCGTCCATAACCTGCATATTTAAGGTGTGATGAAAGATTAACAAGTTTCTTCAGGTCAGGGTTGACGGCAGTGGCTGCGTTATTATTTCTGGTGTTCACGCAATGTTTATAACTTTGGGGGAAGCCTTCACTGGGGGAAGGGGTAGGAAACCTGATCTGATTGTTTTATCATGGCATTGATTCTTAGCTCAAATTGTTCTTTAGTGTTATCTTAGCCAGATGGAATAGTCACAACAAACTTGGAGATGTTCACACCTTTCTTTTTTAAGCTTCATCTTTTGACACTTGGCATCCAGTGGTCCTGAAATATAAGGACCAAAACATTGAGTCATATGAAGATAAATAGAAGTACAATGCTTAGTTTCTGCTTGAGCAAAAGTGAATTCAACTTTCAGATCTACAGGAATGTATTTACAATGCAGTATTTTGTATCCAAGATTGGTAAATACAGTAGTTGTATAAAATACTTTGTCATGAGTTTAAACCAGTGAATTACTGGGACATGTGCTATTTAGGATATACTGGTTATAAGCTGCCATATCTGCTTGTATTTTAATACCTTTTACTGCATGAAGAACAGCTGCAGTATATGCACCTGTTACGGTATGAAGAACGTCTGGAGTATATATAGTAGACTACTAAACTTCGTCATTTTGAAATCCTGTAATCATGCGTATTATAAAACAAGGGAACATTTGTGTTTATTTACTGCCATGTTTCGTTGAATATATTTGGCTTTATAACTGTGCTTCTTGCTTATGTATTTAGTTTGGTTTTCATTAGAGTGCCTTGCACCACCCTCATAATACTTCACTTATGTGTTTTGTATATATAAGTGAGGTCATTACTAAGTATGGGGGCTGAAGTGTTTTACAGTTTTTTATATTTGTTATCTTGCATGTGCATGTTGTTATTGCAGGGTGTGTGCATTACAACTTATATTTGTGCAGTGTCGTTGAAACCTAACCTGCATCTTCTGCAGTGGAAAAAGAATTGAAGTTAATTAACTTGTATTTGAATTGTCAGCAGCTTACGCCGAATTCCATATATGAATTTATTTAGAAAGAAGAAAGTTTATTTTAAAATAACCACTTGGACCATAATGGTAAATATACATGCCTCAATATTTAGTGAAGATTGAAGAGTTGAGAAAGTGAGAGATGGGAGGAAGTAGTATGGGTGATGTGTGATGGCCACTGCCACAAGCTTGGCTCTTGCACTCAGTGTGAAGGGTAAGTAGTGTTTAACATGACTAAATGTAACATTACAAAGACTCCCCCCCCCTAATTAATTTTCAACATTATAGTTTTAATATTTGTAATGAGTGATAGGTTTTATTTCTTTTCATAGTCCTCAACTCTTCATTGTTCATGTTAACTAGCTTCAAGCTCTATGTTAAATATTAACTTTTGTACTAGATCATTGTATGCATTTATGAGATAATATGATTTAAAATGTAAGAGTTGTCTATAAGTATAGTTGGTATGAAGAGTGAGAGTAAGGAGTTAATATGGCAGTACATCATGGTACTTGCCTTAATCCTAGTGATAGACAATTTGCGATTGCTTAGCAGTGTGTTTGTGTGCTTTTGTCTCATATATTCTGTCTTTCCTACAGGGGTGAATACTAGCAGATGGGTGGAGATTGTTTTGTGAAGTATGACGTGTTTCTTGTGTAAAGTAGTGACAGTGTCTTATGTCCTGCAGGGACTCGGGAATATACTAAGAAGCTGTTGTAACCTTGATTCACTCTTGTTAACAATTAATAATAAGACCAGAGTATTTTCTCTTCTCTAATTTTTATTAAGTGCTATGTGGAAATTCATTATCTATTACACCTATGGTCAGTGCCATTCTGAAGTAGAGACTGCATTCCATGCATTAATGCTTGGTATTCATACCAAAGTTAAGACCTAATTCCTTTCTGATATCTCCACACATTACCAAAGTTGAAACATAATGGTCATCTTGATAACATCTTCATACGTTGTCAAAGTTGAGACGTAATAGCCTCCTTGATAACGTCTCCGTACATTACCGAAGTTGAGACATACTGTATAGCCTTCTTGGTGGCATTTCTATACATTACCAAAACTGAGACGTAATAGCCTTCTTGATGACGTCTCCATTCATTACCAAAGCTGAGGCATAACATTCTTCTTAATGACGTCTCCACACATTACCAAAGTTGACGTAATAACCTTAATGACGTCTCCACACATCACCAAAGTTGACGTAATAACCTTAATGACATCTCCACACATTACCAAAGTTGACGTAATAACCTTAATGACGTCTCCACACATTACCAAAGTTGACGTAATAACCTTAATGACGTCTCCACACATTACCAAAGTTGACGTAATAACCTTAATGACGTCTCCACACATTACCAAAGTTGACGTAATAACCTTAATGACGTCTCCACACACTACCAAAGTTGACGTAATAACCTTAATGACGTCTCCACACATTACCAAAGTTGACGTAATAACCTTAATGACATCTCCACACATTACCAAAGTTGACGTAATAACCTTAATGACGTCTCCACACATTACCAAAGTTGACGTAATAACCTTAATGACGTCTCCACACATTACCAAAGTTGACGTAATAACCTTAATGACATCTCCACACATTACCAAAGTTGACGTAATAACCTTAATGACATCTCCATGCATTACCAAAGTTGAGACTTGACTGTAAAATATTCTTTGATGGGTATGAACTAAGAGCAGTATAACATGCTGGTGGACTCCAGTTGTATCATTTCCTGTTCTTTTTTATGCTGTACTGTATATGTAAAAAAAAATCTTTATTCAATGTCTATAAATAATTTTCTGTTCTTTATTGATTCATGTCTTTAATTCATTTTAAAATCTTAAAAGAAAAACTCACAGTTGTTGTTAACTAAATTATCTGTACACAATTTGGTACTGCTTAATTAATAATGACTGATTCATTTATATATTAGCTAAGAGTTGTTATATGAAGCAGATCATGGTATCCTTTATGTAGAAGTTAAATTTTGTTTCTTATACCACACATTTAATGCTCAGTGGTTCACTTGCTTAATCTTTCATGGCTATCAAGGTGCTTTTCATAAAATATCCATAAGATCAAAGATTTTATGGAAGACCTCTAAATGTTGCTGATATACTTAAAAATCACACCAGACTTGATTGACTGATGAGCACCTACCAGGGACCACGATCACAATGTGGCCGCCTCAGTAGAGTAAGGTAGTCTGGGGATCACAGATCAACCACAGTACCCAGGAGAAAACCACCAGAAAGGCAGAGTGCACCAAAACAGATAACTGCATGTTAATCATTGGCACCACTGTCTCTGAACAATGTAAACAATCATTACCCATGATGAACCACTGGTCCATCACTCCTACACCATGCCAGATGGCAACACCTACCAGAGGTGGTCTTGGGAGGCCAACTACTCATTCTTGCACCGGGGCTGCCCCTTGCAGCCCTGTCAGCGAGAGGCTGACGGCTGAGTGGACAGCGCTCGGGATTCGTAGTCCTAAGGTTCTGGGTTCGATCTGCAGTGGAGGTGGAAACAAATGGACAGAGTTTCTTTCACCCTGATGTTCCTGTTCATCAAGCAGTAAATAGGTACCTGGTAATTAAACAGCTGCTACGGGCTGCTTCCTGGGGGATGTGTAACAAATAGGAGACCTGGTCGACGACCGGGCCGCAGGGACGCTAAGCCCCGAAATCATCTCAATATAATCTCAAAATAATACTCTTCTAAAAATAACTGGGCACTTGGCCCAAATTCTTCAGATTCAAATAAGCGTTGGCCATTCGTTTGACTTAGTCTCCATAGACCTCCTGTTTGTGTTCGATGTTTGTGCTTCTCGTGTGTGTGTCATGCTTTAATCTTCACTACAGCTGTTAATGATCAGGGTTCTCTTCCTAGGTTGTTATTAGCATTGTTCTGCCTTCAGGGTTCTATTCCCTGAGGAGATTCAAGGGAACCCTTTCAGGTAATGCCTCCTCACAATGAGCTGCTTCCTGGCTGGGTGCAGGAGTGTTTGCTCCTCTATAGGGCCTGAGGGTAGAGAGGATTGAATTTAGGCTTTAGCTGCAGTCTTACCGAGCCCTAAATTCATGGGGAAAGCACAGTTGTGTTTACATTATGAGCTGTTTTAGTGTCTGTGGCCAACCCGTCCTCTTAAAAATAACGTCACTTTTCGCTTGTATGCGCGCTATGGCCAAATTTGGACATAATTTGAAATGAAATCGACTCACAAAAGTGACGTACTGTTCCGTTTTCTGTTTGAGTCGTCCGGCTTACTCAGCAAGCTTAGAAAAGGCAACTTTCAATTAACGTTTTTCATACCGTTTTGAAACTTTGAGAATTTCCTGCCCACCTAACCTACCAGAGGGCCCTTAACTTACTGTTGTTGAAAAAAAAATCCCAAATTTATTTTCATTTTTTTTTCATTTTCAAATTATGTCCATATTCGGCCATACGGGCAAACGGCCAAAAGTGATGTTCTTTTTAAGAGGACAGGTTGCTGTGGCAACATGCCTCTCTCTTCAATTCATGTACACAGGTTGAGGGTTGGGCATGGGTATCATGAAATGCACCCAGCTACCATGTCCAGTCTGTGCCAGTAGTGTTTATAGCTTTGTGGAGACAGGTACCGCTGCTGCTTCTGAGCCTGCTTCTTCCTATATAATGTGGCTTTCCTGAGTGCTTAGCTGTACTGTTAGTTGTGGTTGAGCACTCTATCTGTTTCTGGCATTTTACCTGCTGAGTTTGGGATTCTTTCCATCCCGGACCCAATGATGTTTGTCATTGCTGGACTTTGGTTCATGATGATTTCCACTGTAGGCTATATATTTATATTCAGCATTTGTCTTTTGTGAGTGGTTCAAAAGTGAGCAGTGAAGGCTTAATTTTGCAATAAATAGATTTAGAATTTTTATATTTTTATCTTGCTGTACTAAGTGCATAGTATATGCAGATAAGGCCTAATGGCTTTAACCCTTAAACTGCTTCCGTCACTCTCAAGCAATAAGGGATGGTTCACCAATTGCCAATAGGAGCATGGATGTGCCCTGAAATATTTAATAGTACTAAAGATTCTATGTGCACGTTATTTGACACTAGAGATTTCTGGCAATCATTTGCCATACAGTATTGACAACAAAATTTTGAAAGCTATAGTTTACTTGCTGGTCCTTGGTGAAAGGCTGGGCACCATGTTAGGTGCATTACCATCCACTGACTCACCCAGGCTAGGAACCTTTGAGGCACACAAAGTTTCAAGGACATTTATGGTCCTGGAAGATAGTAGTGATGAGAAATCCTTTACAACATAGTTAAACTTGAAAATTATTTATCTGAATATGGTGTCAACAACATTTCTTCACCTCATTGTGCCCAAACTAAAATTATTAGAATTTATTATATTTTCCTGACAATGGAAAGTAATGTTTTATGATATAAAAACCAATTACACCTTTGATTGCAATCTTGAGGTGAGGAGTTATAATAACTAATGGTTGGACCTAGGCAATGTGCACATAGTTTGAATCAATGTTTCAAATGTCCAAGCAGCGGCATGTTTTGATGCACTCTACCTTTCTGGTCATTTCTGGGGGGGATTCACTTGTGACTCCCTGAAGCTACCATACTGATATAGTGCCAGACTACAAGGTGCCATCAGTTGTGGAGTTCTTATCTGGCCTTCCGGAGCCCATGAGCCAGAACCTTGCCCCCGTTCAGGTTTCATTGCATTCAGCTCATGTGTTTTTTTCTTTGGTACTATGTTGATCTCCCAGACTTCTCTATGCCTCTATTAAGGGGACTAGATTCCAGTCCTGGTTTCTGGTAGGCATATATGCTTTGTTACCTAAGGTTTGGAGGATTCTGGGTTACCAATACCTAAGGTTTGGAGGATTCTGGGTTACCAATACCTAAGGTTTGGAGGATTCTGGGTTACCAATACCTAAGGTTTGGAGGATTCTGGGTTACCAATACCTAAGGTTTGGAGGATTCTGAGTTACCAATACCTAAGGTTTGGAGGATTCTGGGTTACCAATACCTAAGGTTTGGAGAATTCTGGGTGGATAGTTTGGGAAGATACCATGGAATGAACCACAAAGAAGCATTTCATTACAGTCAGCACTGGATTCTTGCCTAAGGAAGCAACCAAGTGGATTATGCTGAGAAATAAGACTGTAGATAAAGAGCTCCTTTCTGAGGAATTTATTTAGTAGGTGCCATTTTATCCCAGCTTACCCAATGCTTCTGGTATTTGAGTCAGGATAAGAGTGAGGTGGCAGTTTCTGGGCTCTTCTGTTTATAGTGTTGGCACTGACACCTGACAGTGAGTTCAACTTGTTGTCAAGACACATTTATCAGCCTTTGTGGTTTATTTGAAGCTAAGTATGAACTTTCTGGAGGTCATTCCCAGCTGGATTGAGTAAGATTTGCCAGTTTCTCACCTTCCCCTATTACTACTGCCGGCTTTACTGGCTAGCTGGACAAGGATTGAAAGGGGTCCTTGACGTGTGAAGCAGAAAAGGTTGAACTGACCTGATTGAGACTCTACCTAAGGGAGAGAAAGAGTGGCTTACTCAGAATGTAAATTTTCATCTATATGCAAATATTATTCTTATGAATTGAATTACAATTTTCTTGATTCCTGACTGATAAACTTGTTCAAATGTCTCAACCTTTTCAGAAAGTGAGATTTGTGTGTGCTGTTTAGATAGAATGGTTTACTACCAAATATATGCTTAGATATGTTTATTAAGATATATTGTAAAGATTAGTCATTACTGTATAAATTATTTTAAGGCATTCTTTCATATATTATTTACCACCTACACAGGAAGAACTGTAAGAAAAGTAAATGTTTAATAATAACAATATTAGTCACTATATTACATGGAACAGTAATGGATTATTGCAAGACTAATGCTGATTTGTTTTATGACCATGTTGATGTCTTTGGTCCAAAGACGGAACCACAGGAATATTTAGTTCCTGCTTCACATTGTACCACACTTGAGACCACAATGGTTCTTTTTTTTTTATAGTTGCTATCTCTTGGTTAGGCCTAATATATATTTTATTTACACAAGCTAGACTTAAAAAGTTTGAACTACCATATGTCTTCACTGACCCAACATTTTTTGCAATGTTGATATAGTTTGTATATAGGCATACTACTTGTACATTCCTGTTTTATTCAGTATAAGCATTTCTCAATTCACGCATATAACAGTGAAATAATCTGACATTTATTTTCAATAGAGTACAGTATACTGTATTGAAAATGTGAAATAAACTTTTTGTAAGTGTGAGTTAAATGTTTTTAAATCTATTACTACAACTATGTATAAAGCAATGCGTTAAATTTGCACCAGTATTATCTTATAAGTATAAGCTGACAATAGTATGCCTTCTGTAATTATTTCATATAATTTTTCAATGACTATAGTGTATTTTGATTTATAAACAATGGAAACTATGGTGGACAGCACAAGTCTATCCTGTGGACCAAATTGGTTGGACCATATACAAAATTGGTTGGATCATGAATGAAATTAGGTGGATAATGGACAAAATTGGTTAGATTATAAATAAAACTTGAATTATGGGCAAAATTGTTTAAACCATGAACAAAATTGGTTGGATAATTCATAAAGTTGGTTAAATTATGGACAAAATTGGTTTCATAATGAACAGAATTAGACCATGAACAAAATTGGTTGGATCATGAACAAAATTGGTTGGACCATGAACAAATTGGTTGGACCATGAACAAATTGGTTGGACCATGAACAAAATTGGTTGGACCATGAACAAATTGGTTGGACCATGAACAAAATTGGTTGGACCATGAACAAAATTGGTTGGACCATGAACAAATTGGTTGGACCATGAACAAAATTGGTTGGACCATGAACAAATTGGTTGGACCATAAACAAAATTGGTTGGACCATGAACAAATTGGTTGGACCATGAACAAAATTGGTTGGATCATGGAGAAAATAGGACACTGAAGTGTGATAGTAACATATGCAGGAGTTGTGTCCAAGCTGTGAATGGACACCTGTAACAGTCCCCTTGCACACACCATAGAATGGTTTGTAGTATGACTTGAAGACTAAGCAGAGACATATAAGATATAAGATAGAGACTTGAAGATACAAGCAGAGACAAGCAGAAACAAGGGGATAACAAATATTTTGATGCTCCTTCAGTGGGAAGATATGAGGTTAGATGTAACAAGAAATTTAGTATAAATAGTACAATTATAGTGCATTTCTGTTTGGGTTTTAATAAAAGAATTATATATATATATATATATATATATATATATATATATATATATATATATATATATATATATATATATATATAAACTGAAAACTCCACACCCCAGAGCTGCTCCATATTTCTTATAAAATAAAATGAAGAATTTTGAAAAACAGAACAAATGCCATAAACGTTTGTTCAGTGTTTGTCGGGTAGGCTGCTCCATTATTGAGAAATAAATGAAAAATACAAAACAAATGGAACACAGTTGAAACACAGAAAGATTGTCATAATGGAGCAGCCTACCCGACAAACACTGAAAGAACCTTTATGGCATTTGTCCATTTTTCAAATTGTTTAAACTTTTTATTTTATTTTTTGTTTTGTTTTGTTTTTATTTAAGAAACATGTAGCAGCCTACCTGCTGAACATCGAATGAACCTTTTTGACATTTGTTCTGTTTTTCAAAATTCTTCATTTTTTCTATTTTTTTTTTCTATAAGAAACATGGAGCAGCCTACCTGACAAACACCAAATGAACCGTTTTGACATTTATTCTTTCTTTAATAAAGTTCATTTTGTTTTTTCTACAAAAAGTCTGTGCTTTGCAACATACCAGCATTAATAGCATCTGTACACAAAGAAAAAATAATATATTTGCATCGTTGGAGGCATCCGAGAATGTGCGAGAAGCAGCCCCAGACCCCACCATGTGGTGTTGACGTTATTCAATTGTAAGGAGTGATGAAGGGTAGGGTGAGGTGATTGTTGCCTGACTCCAGCTTCTAGATGTCCACCAGGTCTTACATTTTCCCTCTGGGTCAATGGAGGTCCATCAGAAAGTTGTATGCTCCAATTCGAATTCATCTAGATGTTGAATTGTAGGAGGCTTCATAATATACTGTGTGTGTGTGTGCATGCATATATATATATATATATATATATATATATATATATATATATATATATATATATATATATATATATATATATATATATATATATATATATATATATATATATATATATATATATATATATATATATATATATATATATATATATATATATATATATATATATATATATATATATATATATATATATATATATATATATATATATATATATATATATATATATATATATATATATATATATATATATATATATATATATATATATATATATATATATATATATATATATATATATATATATATATATATATATATATATATATATATATATATATATATATATATATATATATATATATATATATATATATATATATATATATATATATATATATATATATATATATATATATATATAATGTCGTACCTAGTAGCCAGAACTCACTTCTCAGCCTACTATTCAAGGCCCGATTTGCCTAATAAGCCAAGTTTTCCTGAATTAATATATTTACTATAATTTTTTTCTTATGAAATGATAAAGCTACCCTTTTCACTATGTATGAGGTCAATTTTTTTTTATTGGAGTTAAAATTAACGTAGATATATGACCGAACCTAACCAACCCTACCTAACCTAACCTAACCTATATATATAGGTAAGGTTAGGTTAGGTAGCCAAAAATAGCTAGGTTAGGTTAGGTTAGGTAGGTTAGGTAGACGAAAAAACATTAATTCATGAAAACTTGGCTTATTAGGCAAATCGGGCCTTGCATAGTAGGCTGAGAAGTGAGTTCTGGCTACTAGGTACGACATATATATATATATATATATATATATATATATATATATATATATATATATATATATATATATATATATATATATATATATATATATATATATATATATATATATATATTATATATATATATATATATATATATATATATATATATATATATATATATGTCGTACCTAATAGCCAGAACGCACTTATCGGCCTACTATGCAAGGCCCGATTTGCCTAATAAGCCAAGTTTTCCTGAATTAATATATTTTCTCTAATTTTTTTCTTATGAAATGATAAATCTAACCATTTCATTATGTATGAGGTCAATTTTTTTTTATTGGAGTTTAAATTAACGTAGATATATGACCAAACCTAACCAACCCTACCTAACCTAACCTAACCTATCTTTATAGGTTAGGTTAGGTTAGGTAGCGGAAAAAGTTAGGTTAGGTTAGGTTAGGTAGGTTAGGTAGTCGAAAAACAATTAATTCATGAAAACTTGGCTTATTAGGCAAATTGGGCCTTGCATAGTAGGCTGAGAAGTGAGTTCTGGCTACTAGGTACGACATATATATATATATATATATATATATATATGTCGTACCTAGTAGCCAGAACGCACTTCTCAGCCTACTATGCAAGGCCTGATTTGCCTAATAAGCCAAGTTTTCATGAATTAATGTTTTTTCGTCTACCTAACCTACCTAACCTAACCTAACCTAGCTATTTTTGGCTACCTAACCTAACCTTACCTATATATATAGGTTAGGTTAGGTTAGGTAGGGTTGGTTAGGTTCGGTCATATATCTACGTTAATTTTAACTCCAATAAAAAAAAATTGACCTCATACATAGTGAAAAGGGTAGCTTTATCATTTCATAAGAAAAAAATTATAGTAAATATATTAATTCAGGAAAACTTGGCTTATTAGGCAAATCGGGCCTTGAATAGTAGGCTGAGAAGTGAGTTCTGGCTATTAGGTACGACATATATATATATATATATATATATATATATATATATATATATATATATATATATATATATATATATATATATATATATATATATATATATATTATATATTTTATATGACCAAAAAGGTAAGATTAATTAATAATTTTAACAGGAATTTTTTCAATATTTCTTATGTTTTTCTTCACTGTCGGTCAGTCTCTCAGTCAACGATATCCACCATACTGGCTGAGAAAAAGGACATCATGGGTGCTAAAGTGATGCATCATAACAGACAAATGTTAAAATGAAGGGAAAAACAAATGTCTCTTGACAAACTTGTAGTGAGACAAACAAGCACTGAACCACAACCAGGTCCTAGTGGTATTCAGGCAAAACATAGGAGAGAGAGAGTACCCCAGAGAAAACATCACTGCCTGATGTGTTAATGGCAGTGATGTAAACAGTAACAGTGTCCAAACAGTAACAACTCTCCTCCTCCCCCCTCATCACCATCTTCCATACACCATCAAGAGCCCTCCATGAAGGTAAGATAAACTTAGGTACTGTATTGTAGTTAGAAAAAACATTGTATTCAGTATAAAATGTATTTGTATGTTAATATTTTGGAGGGTGGGGAACGGATTAATTCAAATCCCTTTATTTCTTATGGAAAAAATCGCTTCGACTTACGATATTTCGACTTACGATACGTCTCTGGGAATGGATTATTGTCGTAAGTCGAGGCCCCATTGTATAACCTTTGTTGTACAGTATGTACTTACCTTCTTAACAGTAGACTGAGCTAGAAAATTATATTTCAGTTTTAAACAAGTTGAGATGTCAATCACATTTATAACTACCAGTAATTTCAAAGCATTATATGACAAAACGTGCTGGGAAGGCGGAACACCAAGAGCGTAGCTCTCATCCTGTAACTACACTTAGGTAATTACAGAGCATGTGTGGAAGTTGACATACTTGTTCTACTGATTTTTTCTAAATTAAATAAGATTTCATTTAATTGAGATATTATATAACTGAGAACTGCTTCTACGGTTATCTTGAGATGATTTCGGGGCTTAGCATCCCCGCAGCCCCGGTCCTTGACCAGGCCTCCTTTTCATTACACTCCCCCCCTGGAAGCAGCCTGTAGCAGCTGTTTAACTCCCAGGTACCTATTTACTGCTAGGGAACAGGCACATCAGTGAAGGAAACTGCCCATTTTTGTTTCTGCCTCCACCGGGGATCGAACGCGGAACCTCAGGACTGCGAATCCGAAGCGCTGTCCACTCAGCTGTCGGCTCACCCGACAGATACAGATGCTTCAACTGAGATATAGTACAGTTCTCTATCATACTATTAAAATTAATTTAGGAAGTTGTTTTTTATATGATCTGAAATTAAGGGATTTAGTCTTGCTATAGAGTTTTGTTGTAAATGAAAACAAAAGCTATTTTGAATGAACTTTCAAACTAAATATTTTAAATTATTTTTTTATATATGATATCTATAGAAAACCTCCACAATATACCATGTATTTCTTTTGTTTTGGATTTGCAGATATATCCTACATGTCCTTGCAACAGTTTGGTTTTCAGATGCCTCCTATACTGCATGAATAATCTCTCTCAATGAACTTGAGATAAATGCAAAATGTGTTCTCTCCATGGATGAGGAC